TACTTCCCCCCCGCCGCCGCCGCCGCCGCGCACCACCGTCGTCGCCGCCCCGCACCACCCCGCCTCGCCTCGCCGGAGCCGCCGCCCCATCGACCGGAGCCGCCGTCGATCCGATCTGTTTCGTCACCTGTTTTTTTCGGTTTAGGAAACCTAGTTTCGTTTTTTAGAATAGATCGGTTTTATTTTTTCTCGGTTTATTTATTTAGCGAACGTTCGCTCGTTCGTTCATTTTAACGAACGAGTTTCACCGTTAAGCCGCAGACAGCGAACGTCTGTTCGTTAGCCTCTTTGTCGGTTTTTTTCTTTTTCCAGGGGTTTCCGCGATTATTTTCGATCGTGATTTCTGCCCTGATATTTGTTTTAGTTCATCTGTTCGCTCGTTTATCGGAATCAGGCGATTCAAGCGCCTAGAGTTTCGTCTCGAAGCCCTCTTTCTGTTTAATAAACTTAAACAAGTTTTTGCTACCGTAAAATATGACTTAGGTCCAGATTAGTAAATGGAGCCTGTTTTTTTCGCAGCTTGAGTTTCGTTGCTTCGTTTGATTTGATTCTTTTTGCAAACCGGAGTTCTTAAGTTGAACTTTCTGGTTGGATCTCTTATTTGAGCTTTACCTGTGCTTCTGGTTGAGTGCTTATTCTATGCTTGTTTGTTTGCGATAGAGTACCTGGAGTGCGAAGCGTGCTACTACGAGTCTCTAGGTTTCACGGATCATCAGCAAGGCAAGTAACACTTTGATCATACCGCTTTACTATCCAGTTTTATTGCATTAGATCAATCCTCAAACAATTGCATGGCTAGGATCTGATTAATATGTGGGTTTTTGGGAAGTAGATGAGGTAGTACCTATTGTCCTGTTTATTATCAAACCTTTGGGAGTTACTTCTACGTTTGCTTATATTCCTATGCTATGCTTGTAGACGTGGATTGGGTGAGTGTATCCATTACAGATGTGATTAATGTTTAACTTAAGGTGGTTACTTTAATTCATATCTGGGTGGACTGAGGCACCTGGGGAACCCAGTGTTGCCTGTATTTTTGGAAATCCCGGGGTACCGTGTGATTCTCCTATGGACCGCCACCCAGGCTCAAAGGGATCATAAGATTATTCATGCTTGAAACTTCCGAGTGCAGCCACAAGCTATTATGGGCTCTAGCATAGTTGAGTACGTTGCAAGACCTCTCTCAGTGGTGGGCTAGCAGATGTAGGGGAAAGTAGGTGTAACTGTGCACCCAGAGTAAAGAGTTATTGTTTCAGAAAGACTGTGTCTCCTTTCTTCAACCATGGATGTATTCGAGTCTTGTGGGGAAAAGTGCGCAAACCTCTGCAGAGTGTACAAACTAATCATGGTTAGCCGTGTCCCCGGTTATGGACGTTTTGAGTATCTAGTTCTTGGATTATCATGTGGATCTCATCATGTTACTTAATTTAATTTTGATTGGGTTTAATGATGATGCTTAATTGGGATTGAGTTGGAGGAACCTTCTCAATGTTTAACAACCACCATGATAGTTAACTAAAATTTATTCCTTTGTTGTAGGGGAAAATTGGCTTTATGCAAAACTGTAACCATAGAGCTTTCCACCAGCCATATATGCATGTAGTGATAGCATTATTCTGTTCATTACTCTCTATGTGTTACATTGCCAGCATATTCCATGTGCTGACCGGTTTTCGGGCTGCAACCTTCATGTTGCAGACTTTTCAGACGACGAGTAAGGTGCCTTAGGTCGTGATCTTTCACTCAGTGATGCCGTTGGAGTTGATGGACTCACTTTATCTTCCAAGCCTTCCGTTGTTATCGTTTATAGTTGGCCTGAAGCCATATTTATTGTAATAAGTTCTCTTTTGAGATATTCCATGTAATAAGTGTGTGATTGCTACTTTGTTATAAATCCTTCAAGTATTGTGCGTGTCAGCATTACCGATCCAGGGATGACACTGATGCACAGAGATCAGACTGTTTGAGGTCTGGTCGCTACATATATTGTGCATGAGTCTTTATTTCTTGATAATAGGTCACTTGGGGGCTTCCACTCAACGAGTTTAGCTCATAATAACCCTCTTTGCCTGGCATATGCCAACATATCCATCATGGTTAAACCTGTCTGTTTTCTTGATGCTCATCCGACAAGATGACCCGGCGTACTCTTGACAGTCAATCTATTATGACCCTAAACTTGTCAAGGTTAAAACGCCAGCTTATGTCATGTGAGAGCCGGCCTACAGAGAGCCAGGATAAACCATAGGCTATCACGCCTGCTTCTTTGAAGCAAGACTCAAGCCTCGAAAGCCGGTCTTTAACTCGTGCCTCGAAAGCCGGCTCAATAATAAACAAGAGCAGGATGTAGAGTTTTACCTCCGTTAAGAGGGTCCGGACCTGGGTAAGCATCATCTCCTTCGTTCTTGTTACTCTCAATCCGAGATCCATAGCTCGGGACCCCTACCCCGAGGTCTATCGGTTTTGACACCAGCTCACGGGTAGGACGCCGAACCCACGTCCAAGCCACTTGATCCAGAGCTGCTCATCATTGCTGGCGAGCTAGGAAAAGGGCCATGGCCTCCACCTCCTTTGCAACGGGGCGATCGCCACCTCATCGCATCGCAAGCTCCACGAGATACGCATGTCGAGCACAAGCTCAACTCCGTCCATATGGAGTCGCCCGACCGCCGCGTTAACTGAGATCACACGTCTCACAGTTAGCATCATAACCATTCATTTATGTCCATGCCTCAAAATAACACCCTTGCAACCTATATGACCCTAATGTTGTGTTACAAGATTTATTGGACCAACAGACTGCCAAAGAGGAGCAAAGGCGGTGGGTTGAGGAGCAAATGCGCTGGGTTGAGGAGGAGAAAAGAGAGAAGGAGAAGGCAGAAATGAACGAAAGGTTCAAGTTGTTCGAGAAAAAAACTAGAGGTAGAACATTCTCTAAATTTGGTCCCATTCATTATATAGCGACGAACAGTTCTCACTTGACTCTACTCTTATAGGCTCTTATGCAATCTCAAGGCGGTGGAAATGATGCCCCTCCTCCTCCTCCTCCAGAAGCTTAACCCGCTAGAAATGATGCCCCTCCTCCTCAAGATGTTGTATGAAGATGTGAACTTCTATCTGATGTGCATGTGTTTTGCAAGTAGTGAACTTCCGTAAGTATGATACCATTGGCCTATGTATGAACTTCTATGTGATGTGCTCCTATGTATGAATTTGCGAGCTTGTGTGTGATGTGTACTAGTACGAAACATTGGCCTATGTGAACTACTTTAAATTATGCCTATGTGTGTGATGTGTTGCTTGATGAATTTCTAGGGAGCTACGAGCTCCCACATTCATTTATTATGATAGCATTTTATACACTGAAGATTCAAAAAGTGCAGTCTGGTTGTTTTCAATTGCAGGGATCAGATAAGAAACAACTTTACAACAGAAGCAATGGAACACATTTCTGAGAGCCACACTCGGAAACAGAGACATTCACGAGCGTAGCTCTCAAAAAAGGGATCGCCTGAGCACTTTAACTATAGTTGTGCCAATCTTTTCTGAGGGCCCCTCTCGGAAAAGGGGTTGCCTGAACATTTTACTACTACAGTTGTGCCACTCTTTTTCGAGGGTTGTGACACTCGATAAAAGTTCAACTGCCATGTGGGACACCCGGGCCCATTGGTCAGTTTCGAAGGTTTCAGTCAACAGTCTGAGCCGTACGAGGAAGCTCTCAGTAAAGACAACACGTCATATTATTCTTTTTAAAGATTTAACAAATAATTTGAAACTTTTACTAATAACTAGACATGTCAAGTATGAATGCTTCTGTGACATGTTTTTACCGAGCGGACCATCATAGCTCTCGGTACAGGTGACAAAATTTGACTGCGCCGTCAGTTTCGAACGGGCATTGCCGCGTGGCGCTCTTGGGGTTTGTGCCGTTTGCCGTGCGTTGTTTGTTCGTCGTGAGCCCGTGCCGGCAACGTTAGCTAGTTGCCGTGAAGTCAGGGTTGCCGAGTGTGGGTCTCGACGTCTGTACTTTGCTGAGTGCCCATATTTTGGCTCTCGGCGAAGAGACGAACACCTGGCCTATAGGAAAATTCCAGTAGTGTACATGGACATTCAAACAGTAGAAAAGGAAAGTTTGAGAGAGGAAACCCATCACAGAGAGCACCAAATTAGGCCGTACAGGGAACGGGCGCGGAATTGATACGCAGTTGGCCAGCGAAAGGGGATGAGGAAGGCACTGCAAAAGACCTGGACCTCGGTGTGCCCTCGTGTGGCTCGGGATCAGCACCACACCGACCATGGGGCTGGTGCAGAGTGCAGACACCTCGGAGATGCCCATGAACATCCACGATCGAGGTAGATACTCCAATGCTCACAACGGTGACAAAGTACAGGCTCCATGACACAACGATTATTCCTGGCAAATCAACAAGAGACCATAGGCATCTGAATTCTGAAGCTTCTCACCTCAAGAGACCATAGACATCTTACAGGTTATTGCTCCACTGCTATTGCTGATTACAACGAATCGAAAGCGAAAAGGTAATGCATCCTGGCGAAGGAAAAGGAAAAATGGAGTATGCATGGTGGCCTAAGGGAAAAGCTAAATCTAATGTATGCATGGTGTCCTGCATGGCAGCCTGTGTCCTGCCCTGCCTGCCTAGCTAGTTGGGGTGCCCTGTGGTGGAGGGGCTGGAGCCGGGCTGCTGCTGGAAGCCGGCGGGCGGTGGGGTCTGGGCGCCCGGGTGGTGGTCCACGGACGACGAGTAGTTGTTGTAGGCCTCGGCGAGGTCCAGGTCGAACTCCTTCTGCTTGAGCACGAGCAGCATGCGCTGGCCGTCGACGCGCCGGCGCTCCATCCGCAGCCGCTCGTGCTCCATGTCCCACTCCTTGGTGGCCTTGAACTGCTCCCACTTGTGGCGCTGCTTCTCCAGCGCGTACTCGCGGACCTCGTACGCCAGCTGCTGCTTCTCCAGCTCCAGCGCGCGCCGCTGCATCCACTGCCGCAGCTGCTGCTGGTCGCCGCCGGCCTCCGCCGCGGCCAGCTCGCGCTGCAGCTCCTGCATGGTGCACGACCTCCTGCGGGCGTGCTTGTTCCCGTCCTCTTCTCCGTCTTCCCCGGCCGCAGCAGCACTGCTCTCGCCGCGACGGCGCTTGTTCTTGTGCCCGCCGTAGTTGTGGAAAACATTACTGTCGTCGACGCGGCCCCCGCGGCGGTTGGTGCCCGGCGCCTTCTCCTCCACGTCGTCCAGGTCGTAGTCGTCGTCCTCCTCCTCCTCTTCAGCCTCTTTGCTGCTGAGGACGTCGTCCTCGCTGTCGTCCTCAGAACGCGTGGAGGAATTCACCATCGCCACAACCTGGCGGCCGGCGGACGAGTTGGCAGCGCCGGGCACTGCCGCCGGTTGCGGGTGGTGGAAGCAGGCCGCTCCGTCGTCGGTGCCGTGCGAGGTTGCTGCGGCGGCGCCGGGGGGGTTGTGGTAGGTGCACATCTCGCGGAAGAAGAGGTGCTTGGAGCTGAGCAGCTTGCGCGCCTCCTCCTTGGCCTTGGCGGTGAGCTCGCCCATGGCGTCGAGCAGCGTGGGGTTCTCGACCACCTTGCACGCCGTGCCGCGGCCGAGCAGGTCGACGACTCGCTTGTAGCGCTTGTTGAGGTCGTTGAACTTGTCCTCGCACTGCTGCGGCGACACCGCGAAGCCGTTCTCCATCATCGCCCGGGACACGGACTTCCACTTACCCTTCTTCTGCTGCGCCGCCGCCTGCGGCCCGTGCCCTCCGTGCGCCGCCGCCGCAGACGCCCCCGCCTTCCCGTGCGAGTGCGACGCCGCCGCCTTGCCTCCGCCAGACACGCCCTCCCCGTCGTCCCCGGCGTTGTACACCACCGCGATGAGCAGACGCACCATCGCGTCCGTCCACTTCATCCGGGACCACGGGCACCCCGCGGTCCCCGCCCCCGCCCCCGCCCTCGGCTGCTGCACGACGCCGCCGCCATTCCCGACGACGTTGCCCATCTCCTCCTCTTCATGCGCCTTGACCGCCCTCGACGGCGGCGCCACGTAAGCCGCGTACGGCGGCTGCGGGTGCTGCTGCCTCACCGGCATGGCCTGGTGGTGCTGGACCTGGAAGCCGCCGCCACCGCCGCCGTTGGCATGGTGGAGGTGCTCCGGCGGCTGCTGGAACGAGGAGGCCGCGTGGATCTGCGGCTGCGGCTGGTGGACGAGGTGCATCTCCATGCCCAGCATCGCCGCCGCAGACCCACGCGCACCCAGCCCTGCTCCTCCGTCAACCCTCTCCATCTGCAAAGCCTGGCCACCGGTCTCTGGTTGTCAACTCTTTTTTTCTCTGACGGACTCTTGTGGTCAACTCTAGGTTTGGCGCTGGCCGGTGGAGAGGAGCGGCGAATAAAAAGGAGGAGCGGGGGCAGGGGGCCGCCGCCGGTATGGCCGCCGAACAGCAGCAGCCGCCTCTGCTAGAGGGAGGGGCACGCGCTCTCTGTTTTGCGGGGAGCCCACGGACGCGCCGAAAACCACCTTGGATTCTTTGCGCCCGGTGCTTTCCTCTGTGGCACTGTTTGTAGATGGGCGTGTGCGCAGAAGATCCGTCGAGGATTGTTGAATCAGCTGCTGCCCCGGTATGCCTCCTCGGCTGGCTGTGGTTTGGCAAAGTTTTCTTTCTTACATGGGCCTCGAAGTTTTGGCAAATGCAGACCAGGCCCTTGGTTGTGATTTTTCACAAGCGCCTCATTGATAAGATATATTTGACATATTCAACATTGATTACAATATATTCATCTCTACATGAAGAGCCCCTCACTACTAACAATCAATCCCAGCCTCAAGTCTTGGTAGCAATCTTTTTTTCTAAATGACTTGTATTACTCAAAGCAAATGATTGCAATACTTAATAGAAAGTTGTGCTTAGAGCTTAATGCTCCTATCTTTGAACCAGAATCTTAGCGGTTATTTGCTATTTTAATTGATACAACAATGCCTAAGTCGAACCAATAAGATCTGCTCCAACTTGAATGTCAATCCAATCTACTTCCCAATAAGAATTCCTAATCCCTAAATCTAAGCATGGCATGATTGTTAGCCAGGATAACCCGCTTACGTACATCATTAAGAAGTACCGACGGCTTTTTCCGCTTCTTGGTCAATAGGACTTACTCTCTGGTAAAGTAACTTTCAAGATAGGTACATCGTTCGGTCTAGAACCAAGCCAGGCAGCACTACGAAGCATATGTGAGTAATTTTGTGATCTCCTGACAAAGCTTATTTCATTTCATGCACTAGGAATACATGTCTCGAATGATCAATCGTTGTGCTTTGAATCAACTTTACCGCTTGTAAGCAATCTGATTCATTGGTTAGGGGGAGATCACCCCATCATTTTGCTAATGCCACTCCCTCAATAATCGATGAGAGCTTCACATTCCAATACATCATGGCAAAAAAATGGAAGCTGGCATGAAGTGGATATAATCTCACCCCATGTCCTTTGTAGATCATACCAGACTACCAGTTCCACCGAGTTGCTCTACCTCTGAGTAAGAACCATCAACACTTAGTTTCCCCAACTTGGATCTGGAGTCTGTCAAGCCAAGGAGGGCCGGCCCTGAGGAGGCGGGGGCAGGGGGACGCGGCTCCTCTACCATGCCTCTTATCACGACACGGGTGTCGTGCCTCCTTCGTATGCGTGCGGACACACTCACATGGGCTAGAATATGAGAATTACCAAGAGCTAGTCTGCCCAGCCCATCCATTAGATGCATCATACGTCTCAACTGATTAACTATATTTGTCTCAAAAAAATGATTAACTATATCCCGCTCAAAAAAGAACTGATCAACTATAAACCCCTAAAAAATTAATTAACTAATATAATTAATACATGTCCGACACTGTAAGAAAATGAATTTATATAAGAAAAAATGTTTTGTTAAATAGTATTGGTCATATTTTACGCAGAGCGGATTTTAATCAATTTGATTGGTACCTTTTTTGTCTTTATTACATAGTGTATGTAACTAGCACATTCGATCGACCACACAAGGGCGTGCTTGATTCTCATCATCCTCACATGAGTGTTGAATCACTATACACTTTTCTGTGGTGTATTTGGAAAACTCGGAATGACTCTGTTTTCTATAGGAAAGTTTGCAACCCTTCCCAGGTTTACGCAGTGGCAATGGCAATTATACAGGGAGCTAAACTTGAGTTTGAAGCCTCTTTCCAGGTTTGCAGTGAAGGTGATTTGAACGATCCTCATGTGGATCCAAAACATGGTTTACGACTGCAGGATCATGTTCCCCAGCAGATGACTCCATCTCCTGGAAGCACCATCACGAATATCACCATCTTTTCAGGGCCTGTTATCTTTTCAGATGCTTCTTGGATTATAGGTTCTGATGGCTAGCCGACACCTGCAGGACTAGGTATATTCATTCGGATGGGTAACGAAGGAAGATGCTCTCAGCTTTGTATATCGGTTGTCTCCCCACCAGTGACTTTAGTCATTCTGGCTGAAGCTTTCAGTTTGATGCTCGCAACTCAAATTGCAGGAATGCTTCAGCTTCAGCAAGCCACCTTCTTGATGGACAGTGCTACGTTGGCAAAGGTTGCGGCAGCTCAAAGACTGATTCTTGCACCAGGACACTAGACCATCAGGCCACAGCTAGCTTACATAGCAGCTTCTTCACCCTTTAACTCATCAAAGATCTATCACATTCCCAGGAACTACAATTTTCAAGCTCATCATCAGGCAAAACTTGCACTAAAGCTTAAGAATAGAACATTTAGCTTCAGGTGCTTAACTTCAGGCAATGGTACATGCCTTAGTGCTCATGTAACGGTGCAATCTCCAGTACCGCAATGCACATTTGTACATGTACGTTGTTGCTAGATCAATAAAATATTATGTGTTCAAAAAAAACTATAGTTATATGCCAATCGATTGTAGGCAACTGAAGTGGCACATCCGTACAAGGATGTAAGCGGACGATGTCCGTGCATCCATACAGTCCATGAACAAAAATAATAATTAAACTAACACGATTATTACATTAATGAACATCGGTGCAGTTTTTGCTTCGGGACATTCGGACGCCGTCCGCTTCCATCGCTAGTGCACAGGCTTGCAACCACAGTTGCATGACCATAGGTCGTACTCCCTTTGTAAAGAAACATAAGAGCGGTTAAATCACTGAACGTTCTTATATTTCTTTACAGAGGGAGTACTTAACTACAGTTAAAGATCGCCACACTGGATCCAAGCATACACCGGGCCGTCACTGCGGATGGCCACCCTGGATCCCTTTGGTCGGCGCCCGCTTCACCAATGTTGCCGTTGAGCACCGCTGCCCTAGATCCCTCTGTCCTTCATCATCGTTGCCTGACCCGCCATATGATGGAAATATGCCCTAGAGGCAATAATAAAATGATTATTATTATACTTCCTAAATCATGATAAAAGTTTATTATTCATGCTAGAATTGTATTGACCGGAAACTTAAATACATGTGTGGATACATAAACAAATATCATGTCCCTAGTGAGCCTCTACTAGACTAGCTCATTGATCAAAAATGGTTAAGGTTTCCTAACCATAGACATGAGTTGTCATTTGATAACGGGATCACATCATTAGGAGAATAATGTGATGGACAAGACCCATCCGTTAGCTTAGCATATTGATCGTTCAGTTTATTGCTATTGCTTTTTAATGTCCAATACATATTTCTTCGACTATGAGATTATGCAACTCCCGGATACCGGAAGAATACCTTGTGTGCTATCAAATGCCACAACGTAATTGCATGATCATAAAGATGCTCTATAGGTATCTCCGAAGGTGTTTGTTGAGTTGGCATAGATCGAGATTGCGATTTACCACTCAGAGTATCGGAGAGGTATCTCTGGGCCCTCTCGGTAATACACATCATAAGCTTGCAAGCAAATGACTAAGGAGTTAGTTACGAGGTGATGTATTATGGAACGAGTAAGGAGACTTGCCAGTAACGAGATTGAACTAGGTATGAATATACCGACGATCGAATCTCGGGCAAGTAACATACCGATGGACAAAGAGAATTACGTATATTGACCTAACGGTTCGACCGATAGTCTTCATAAAATATGTAGGAGTCAATATGGGCATCTAGGTTCCGCTATTGGCTAATGACCGGAGAGGTGTCTCGGTCATGTCGACATAGTTGTCAAACCCGTAGGGTCCGCACGCTTAACGTTTGTTGACGATATAGTGTTATATGATTTATATGATTTGCAGACTGAATGTTATTAGGAGTCCCGAATGAGATCACGGACATGATGAGGAGTCTCAAAATGGTCGAGAGGTAAAGATTGATATATAGGACGATGGTATTCGGACACCGGAATAGTTTCGCAGTGCACTGGGTACTCATCGGGTCACTGGAAGGGGTTCCGGACACCCCCGACAAGTGTATGGGCCTTATGGGCCAAAGGGGGGCAGGCCAGCGCACAAGGGGGCTGGTGCGCCCCTTCCCTTGGATGCCCGGCCCTAGGGAAGGAAAGGGGAGAGGTGTCCCCTCCCGCCTTTCCCTCCTCAGGAGAGGAAGGAAAGGGGGGCGCCACCTCCTCATTCCTTCCTCCCGCACTCCAAATAAGGAGGGGGCGCCACTTGGGGGAAGACCCCAAGTAGGATTCGGCCTACTTGGAGGTGCCTCCTGGCTGCTCCCTCCACCCCCACCTATATATATGTGGGAGGGGGCGCCTAGCCCAATACACAACATTGTCTTAGCCGTGTGCGGCGTCCCCTCCATCATTTACACCATCGGTCATATTTTTGTAGTGCTTAGGCGAAGCCCTGTGGAGATAGCTTCACCATCACCGTCACCACACCGTCGTGCTGCTGGAACTCATCTACTACCTTGCCGCCTTGCTGGATCAAGAAGGCGGAGGACGTCATCGAGCTGAACGTGTGTTGAATGCGGAGTTGTTGTACGTTTGGTACTTGTTCGGTTGGAGCGCGAAGAAGTTCGACTACATGAACCACGTTATTAACGCTTCCGCTTATGGTCTACGATGGTACGTAGACACACTCTCCCCTCTCGTTTCTATGCATCTCCATGGATAGATCTCGTGTGTGCGTAGAATTTTTTTTGTTTTCCATGCAATGTTTCCCAACAGTGGCATTTGAGCCAGGTCTATGCGTAGATGATATGCACGAGTAGAACACAAAGAGTTGTGCGCAGTGATAGTCATACTACTTACCACCAACGTCTTATTTTGATTCGGTGGTATTGTAAGATGAAGCGGCC